CAGTCCTGGTCCCGGTCCTGTCCCCGCCCGGGCCCGGGCCCAGCGCTTCGCCGCCGGTGGCGAGGGAGACGCCGCAGCGGACGCGAAGACCCGTGTCGACCTGTAAAACGTGTCTTTTCACTGTCGGGGGCCCCGCGAGACCTCCGATTGTGCGCGTTTGAAACGATGGCAACCTTTGTCTTTCCTAGGTGGCTATGGCTACGGGGCAGGTGCTGTTCCAGCGGTTCTTCTACACCAAGTCCTTCGTGAAGCATTCCATGGAGGTGAGGGCTCCGCCCGCGTTCCTTTCCCCTGAGCTGTGTCGGGAGGAGGCCGGGGTGGGTTGCCTGCCCGGCTGCTCGCAGGAACCAGCCTCCGCCTTCCTCCCGGTCGGAGGCCGCTCTCCCGGGCTTGGGAAGCCCCCGGCCCGACCGCGGGTCCCCTCTTCCTCCGGGTGCACCTGCTCTGTGCTCTTTGTCGCCTTTAAGCTGTTGGAGGCCATCGGCGTTGGAACAAACCTCTGTGTCGCAATGCTTACATTTCAGCACGTGTCAATGGCCTGCGTCCACTTGGCCTCCAAAATAGAAGAGGCTCCGAGGCGGATCCGGGATGTCATGAACGTGTTTCATCGCCTACGACAGCTGAGAGAGAAAAAGTGAGTCTGTGTCACCTCTCATAAATGTCTGTCTCGTTTGTATGCTTATCGAGTGACACTAATGTTTCTGAAGCAAAACTCGGGGTGTGAGGTTTTTAAACGTCCCTAGAAGAGGGCCTTTGCCCAGGGGGTCCCCAGCTGCTGATGCCTGCAGGGACCCGGGTAAGGAGGACAGGGCGCTGTGGACAGCTTGCTGGTGCTGGTTTCCTGGTTTCCTAGAGCTGATGGAAGTCCTTTGGGAGACAGCCTGGGACTGTAGGAAGGTTGAGCTTCCTTTGGGTTTTCGGATTTTCATTCATCCTCTGCACGCACCCTGCACCCTTAGCCAGAGTGCGTTCAGTACTGCGTGAGGTCTGTCTGCCGAGCTGTTTCTCCGGAAGCAAAGGGAAGGCTATTGAGGGGTAAGGAGGCAGCGCCGGGTTGGATGAAGACTGGCTGAGGGAATTGAACTTGCCACATGTCTTTTGTGGTGTTTATAGTAGACTCTCTTCCTTTGGGGGTAGTTGGGATTTGAAAGAGTTTTATTTGACCTGCTGGGCTGTGTCTTGTAGGAAACCTGTGCCTCTGGTATTGGACCAAGAGTATGTTAATTTAAAGAACCAGATTATAAAGGCGGAAAGACGAGTTCTCAAAGAGCTGGGCTTCTGTGTGCACGTGAAGCACCCTCATAAGGTGGGTATGAGGCCCCGTTGCCCCGTGAGCCCACCCAAGTCTCTGCTCCGTTCTCACCCAGATGGAAAACTCTGAAGAGGAATAAATGTGCCCCTGACTTGGTTTTCCCGTTATAGCTGTGACCTGGAGATGCTCTTTGCTCGTCAGTCTTCTCGTGTTACCTGTTAATTCTCGTAGTGCGTTAATAGTTTTGGAAGTGGCATCTTATAAGCTTGAGCTTCAAAAATGGTGATGAGCTTGTAAAAGTGGAACCTGTCAGTTTATATTTTTATCAACAGCTAATTTTCTTTTTTAAACTAACCTTCACTTGAGGATATGTGTTTTTTTGTTTTGTTTTGTTTTAATTGACTTGAGAGAGAAATATAGGTCCGTTGCCTCCTGTAAGCACCCCAACTGGGGATCAGACCTGCAACCTTGGTGCACAGGATGGTGCTCCAACTAACTGAGCCACCCGGCCAGGGCTCAACAGCTAATTTTCTAAGGTTGCTTTAGTAATGGCTTCATTTCCTCTCATAACTGAACAGTTTTGCAGGGAGTGTCAGTTGAGGAGCATGGTTACTGTATGGTACTCTGGGTTCCTTCTTTGTTCCACTCAAACACAAAGCTGTTTTTTGTTATTGTTTATTTTTACCTATTTATTTTAGAAGGGGAAAAGGGAGAGACAAACGTGGATTTGTGGCTCCATTTATTTATGCATCACTGGTTGCTTCTTATATGTTGCCCTGACCCAGGATTGAACCCCCAACCTTGGGGAATTGGGACGATATTCTAACCAACTGAGCTACTCTGCGAGGGCCCAGAGCTTGTTTTAGAAGAGATTGCTGTTTGCATCTTTGCTTTTATAAACCCTTTTTATTGGTGGGTTTCCTCACCCCTTTTCTCGTTTATTTGATTTTCTGGCATTAAATCAGAATCTCAGTTAATTACTTACCATAGGCTTAAGAGCTTTTCTTCATTTGCTGGGAGCATTTTCATACCGTGTTTTGTGTAAATTGGTGATTGGATACAGAGCTGTTTAGGGCAGGCTGATCTCACTGGTGAAAATGTGTGAAAAAACAAGGCCTTTTCTGTGGGGGCAGCTTGGGCCTTGTGCTGCCCGGCTGCAAAGTCAGGGAGCAGGCGTGTCAACAAAAGCCCCTCCAGCTGAGCTGTGCACTGGGCGTGTGACCAGGAGCCACCCTGGGATGTAGCATGAGACTCTTATTTGCTGCATGGACGCCCTCAAGATCTGAGTTCTGGGTTCCCAAGATTCTTGGTAATAACTGCCTGACCCATATCTTCCAGATAATCGTTATGTACCTTCAGGTGTTAGAGTGTGAGCGTAACCAACACCTGGTCCAGACCTCATGGTGAGTTGACCTTCCTTGTTTTATGAGACCAGCCAGGGCAGTGCAGGAATATGTTGATTTGAGGCACTTGGGCAGTGGGTAGTCGGTCCCATGACTTGGTTGTGGGCTGGAGTTGTCTGAGTGCCCAGTGTTCCTGCCATGTAAATTCCAACCAGCCTCCCAAATATCAGGCACTGGTGTAACGGTAAGGTGCCCACACTTCCCCTACCCCAAGAGCAATTAGTAGGCTTCCTGTGGGGGATGTTGACTGGGCACCCCAGGATCTTTCCCATGGGTGCCAGCATGGAGTTAGTCCTGTATCTCCTGTGAAATTGCTCCTAGCTGTCTCTCCTAAAGAGAACCCTGTGGGAGAAGGGGGTATAAAGTTTATCTACAATTTTGGGGGCTGATTTTAATGCATATGTTAGAAATGAAGCCTGAAGTAACTTTTTAGTGCTGGGTACTTTGTGAATGTTTTCCACAGAGTTAAGTCTATAAGGGTCATATTTTTGCTGCCTGAATTGTCTGGTGCTATGCTATGTCTAATAGAGAACCTATTTTGACTTTTCTTTTCTGTACTCTTTCAATCAAAGGGTAGCCTCTGAGGGTAAGTGACTAAGACTTCTCCTCTACTGTCCAAGCGCTTCGGTGCAGGGACAGCGGCCGTCCTCAGCCACTCCCGTGCAGGCTCTCCACCGAAGGCTGGCTCTAGATGGTGGTATGCTCACGATAGTAGAGTGCTGGCCGACTGCTGCTGTGGCTCTGATGGTTGTGCTTCTTGCTAACCCTCTGTCGGGCTTTGGTAATTGTACTGATTAGACTTGGTAACTGTTTTGACTTGAATTTTGTCCCTTTAGAACTGCTGTACCTACCTGTGCGATAAAGATGCAATACCTTTCTTTGGAAAAAAAAATTTGTGGAAAGCTGTAAGAATTGGCTGGTGGGAATTGGGACTTAAGCATGATTATGGCATTGTTTCTGGATGTTCTAAAGCTGCTCTTTTCAGCAGCTAAGTGTTGACACTCTATAAAGGGTTGCATCTTTATATTGTCCCCATGGACACTTTATATTGTAACATTTCAAGTATAGCAATATAAATATATGTTTTAAGGACTTAAACTTAATAGATTAATATTATCGTTATTTGAGAATTGAAAATTTTTTACTAGAACCAAAAAAGTTAATGATGGTTATGTGTATAAAATGTTTGAACTGTTCATTTGCAATGCTGTGGTTCATGTGGCCTTGGTGCCATCCATTCTTGTCCTTAATTACCTCCTGATGCCTGGAGCCAGTGCTTCCAGAGCCAGGTGCTGCCAGTCGGCATATGTAGAATTTATCGTTGAGAACCCTCGGAGTGGATTTGTATGTCTCCTTCTCCAGGGTTTAGGAGCAACGATACCAGGGGCGGGGGTGGGGGGTGTATCAGTCAAATCACGGCATGATTTGGCTCACCTGTGGAGGTTGCCTGACTAAGGCGTGTCATATTGGGGTATGTTGGGAGCGGTGAATATATATGACCTGTTCAACTGTTTTCTTATGGAGTTAACTATGTGTGTGCAGTACTGATAACATTTAATATGAAGTCTGATTTTGGTCTGTTAAATCTTAAGAGAAATATATATGAAAGAAAATGTTAAATGTAGCCAATTTTAAAACCCTTTACCTTTTAAAAAGTGCAAATGTTTTGTATTTCTCTATTTTCTAAAGTACGATAATGTTTTTAAGTGTACTGATTGTGGTGAAAGTTGTAGTATTTTGTTGCTTTTGTCTGATTTTATGAATATTCATTTTAAGACTCCTTGTTGAAATGGGACAATTTGGAAACGGTTCTTTGATAAGCCTGAGAAGAGGACTGCCCTCTGGGCACTGAGCCCTCCTCGGCATGATGTTCCCATGCTCCCAGGGCACGACCCCCTTTCCGAGCGACTCCGAGGAAGAAGGCCAGGCCATGAACCCTCTGGAAGGAAGAGGAATACGAGTTGGGGAGGATGGCTTGTCTCCGAAAAGCCTCACAGCTTCGTGCTCGGCAGTCCATTGAGTTTGCATGTTTCTCTGCACTACGGATTCTGAGCGCTTAGATTTCTTTAATCAAGTACTTTCTCACCCCTGCAATAGCTGATTTCTTTCTGAGGCATTGTGCTTTGCATGAGAGCAGGCCAAAGTTGAGAGGGAAAAGTAAAGTTAAAGTTGGTTCTCTTTCATAGCAACACGGATTGTCTGACGTTCAGCCAGCTTAAAATTTTTTTGCCAACAATTTCCCCATCTTCCTGTCTTGTGTTCAGAAAAAGTAGTTAGAATGTTTTCCCTGAACTTGAGAGTCACGGGACTGTACAGCTCCAGTCCTAGCAGTAGACTCCTTAGAGGAGCAGTCACCTCCCTAGATAACACAGACGGGTGTCCTGGGTCACCGGGGTGTTGCAATTCTTCTTGCATTTGGTTTCAGGAATTACATGAATGACAGCCTTCGCACAGATGTGTTTGTGAGGTTCCAACCCGAGAGCATCGCCTGTGCCTGCATTTATCTTGCTGCCCGGACACTAGAGGTCAGTGCTGTGCCACCACGGGAGTCCAGTCAGACCCTTTCTCCTGCCTCCAGAACACTTTTACGTAGTGTTCTTCAAGTTATGCTCCTTGGTGCCAATAAGAAGCCTACTTCTTGGTTACCAAGGACCTTGTTTGCCATGAAGGACAAGCATAATGCAGTGGCATTTGTGTTTTCAGATTCCTTTGCCCAATCGCCCCCATTGGTTTCTTTTGTTTGGAGCAACTGAAGAAGAAATTCAAGAAATCTGCTTAAAAATCCTGCAGCTTTACACTCGGAAAAAGGTTCTTCATTTTTTCCGTGTAACATAATACATTTGTCTTTGAGAAGAAGCATCTGTTTCTGACTAGATGGACTTTGGCTTTTCTAGGTTGATCTGACACACCTGGAAAGTGAGGTGGAAAAGAGAAAGCACGCCATGGATGAGGCAAAGGCACAAGCCAGGGGCCTGCTGCCAGGTGGCACCCCTGCCCTGGACAGCACCTCGGGGTTCTCGCCTGCCCCGAAGCCCGGTGAGTGCTTCCTGTAGGCTGACCCCCCCCTTCCAAGAAGACTTGTCTGAGCACCGCAGGCACCAGTCTTCAACAAACACCTGGTGATCTTTAAAATGGGACAGGACTCCTGAATGAGTTTGCTTCCATCATTGTTGCAGTTTTGTTAGCAAAGGCTATGGACAGGTTTTCCAAAATGGTTTTGTTTACCTAGCCTACCAGGTTGTATAGAACTGGAGCGGTAGGCTGTGTTGTTAGACCCTGCAGTTAGCATGATGCCTGTGCTCAGTCTCTGAGGGCAGCTGAGCCGGACTGGCGGCCCTTCTGTGTGTCTTCAGTGCATGTTCAGGTTCTGAGTCCCAGGTTGGGAGGAGGAAGTTAGGATTAGCATGTGTCTCTATGAATCCCATAGAAGTGGTACTCTGTTGCTCTGCTAACCTGTTTCGTTTTCTGAATGTCAGGTTTTAACTTCTTGTACTTGGTTCTAGTGGAGTCTCCCAAAGAAGGTAAAGGGAACAAGGCTTCCCCGCTCTCTGTGAAGAGCACCAAGAGGAAAACGGAGGGCATGAAGAAAGCCAAGGCTGACAGTCCGGTGAATGGGTGAGTGTCTGAGTTCCCCAGCGGCTGTGGGGGTTGGTGGAGCTCAGGTCTGTAACTGCTACTCTCTGTTCTTAGTTTGCCGAAGGGGCGAGGCAGTCAGAGCCGGAGCGGGAGCCGGAGCCGTGAGCAGAGCTACTCGAGGTCCCCATCGAGATCCGCTTCTCCTAAGAGGAGGTATGTGCCTGGGGGGCCTGACCTGGTGGGCGGGCGTTTTCCCCAGGTGCAGAGGTGATGTGGCCACCCTTCAGGTGTCTGGGGCAGTTGGTCACCCGCTTGGTGGTGGTGTCCTTCATAGGAAAAGTGACAGTGGCTCGACGTCTGGAGGGTCCAAGTCCCAGAGCCGCTCACGGAGCCGCAGTGACTCACCACCGAGACAAGCACACCGAGGCGCCCCCTACAAAGGCTCCAAGGTGCGGAGCTATCGGAAGTCCAAGGACTGCAAGTACCCCACCCAGAAACCACATAAGTCTCGGAGCCGGAGCTCTTCCCGCTCTCGGAGCCGCTCACGAGAGCGGGCAGATAGTTCTGGAAAGTACAAGAAAAAAAGTCATTACTATAGAGATCAGCGACGGGAGCGTTCGAGGTCTTATGAACGAACGGGCCACCGCTATGAGCGGGACCACCCTGGACACAGCAGGCATCGGAGGTGAGGCTCGAGGTCCTGGAGGGCTGCCCTTCAACCCTTGGCGTTCACACCTTGGCATGACTGACCTGTGGCTCGACTCTTTCTGTAAATGGTTGACTCTGGACCTTGTGATGAATTTGGAGATGGAATCAAGAGGCTGGCGAGGTGCCCTTCAGGTTGGCCTGGGCGAGGTGCATACCAGTCCCAGCGCAGGGCCCATCTCGGCCACAGCCCTGCGGCAGCGAGCTGCAGAAGTAGATAATGCACATCCCGGTGGTGTGGATCGGTGCTAATGACAGGCTGTCTTCACTCCCATACCGATACTCAATTACGTTAAACCAAGAAAATGACTTTGAGAACCTTTGCCTATATTAGGTTGTACTTCTGTACATATTTGCCGTGTTTCACAATGAGAAAATGGCCTTAATAGCCCCTTATTCTCTATCCACGTTGTAAATAAACATGTGTTTAATGCAAGTGAAAGCTATACATGAGAACTCAGAACTTGAATTCTGTCAGCTTAAAACTTGTGTAGAGAATTTGATTTTTTAAATGTGAAGGTATTTAGATCTGTGTTGAAAGTTGTATATTTTTATCTGCAATGCTGAGTGCAGGCCACCAGCTCCTAAATAGAGGTTTCCTATATATGCATTTTATGTGGTTAAATAAACACAATTCTCTCTACTCAGGATATTTGGAACATTAAAGACTTTGTAGTTTGTCCTGCTTGCTTGTTACTGCACACAGCCTGCAGCACCCGTTCTAGTGGTGTGTCTGCGCTGCCGTCTCTGATCTCATTAAAGTTGTGTTTTGTATCAGGCTCCTGTGCGCCTGCTCTTCTGTCAAAGGCTATGGGGCCTCAGCCGGCTGCATGTTCTGACAAAGGCTGCTTCCTGTGAGCAAGGAGGGAAGGTGTGAGAAACACAAAACAGCCTGCACCTGACGAACACTGGTTTGTCACGACGGTGTCAGGCTGGTGCAGCCGGGAACAAGGCACCCGGAGCATCATCCCTGGCATGTCCCCCTCAGAGTGGGTGGCAAGTGGGTGGACAGATGGTGGTGCAGGTGAGCAGGGTGGATCTTGGGGCTGTTTCCCAGTCCTGGGTGGGCTGCGGCTCCAGGGCTTTTGGGGCCTGTCTTATGCCCACTGTTGGCTCTCCCCAGACTAGCACCTGGGTGCAGGTGGGAGGGTACTGGATATGGCCTTTCTGGTGCCACTGAGCCTGGAGAAAGGTGTATGGAAGTCATACTGCCAAGGAGACGTGAAAGCGACAGGGTCAGCACCTAGTTTCCAGGTGGTGCGCTCTTCCGACCAAATCATAACAGCCTTGGAAGCTGCAGCTGGAGAAGCGGGCTGGCAGGCACGTTGGTGCACCTCCCTACTAAAGCAGCCCGCCTGGAAGGGAGGTACAGCGCCCTCCTGTGACCTCAGGAGAGCGGGGCCTGGAGCCTGGGCTTTCTGCCCTCCCGTGGGCGCATCCAGCACTCGTTGCTTAGTTAGGTCGGGGCCTGGGGATGACCAGGCCTGGCCACTGGCCACTGCTAGGACTCACTGGCAGAGCCACCCACGGGGCTACAAGAAGCGCCGCCGCATCCCTCTCCTAGCCGGCGCCCTGCAGGCCCATCGGGCGATCCCTCCATCCCAGGCGACCCCAGCGAGAGGGCGGCGACGCGGTGCGCTGGTCGTCCCGGCCCTGAGGACACGGGTTCGGCCGAACCCAGCTCCCCACGGAGGCTGCTCTGGGCTTTGGACAAAAACTGAAGTTTGACTTTTCCTCCCACAGGCACAGTTTGGGAGTTTGCTTTAAAAAAGGAAAGGAAATCCACCCCTGCAAAAGCAGGCCTCGCGCTGGCGGGGAGAGGCGGCGGCCAAGGGACTGGGCGGCGCCCTGGCGCCCGAGCTGCGGAAGCGGGGCCGGGCTGGGCCGCCGTCGCCCGTCGGACCCCTTCACGCCCGCCCGGGGGAGGGGAGGCG